GTGTGACAATTTTATGTATAGCAAGTCATGGTCAACTGTATCGAAAGCTTTACGTAAGTCAATGAAGATCCCCAGTGGGACTTCTTTTTTTCTCTATTGCAGTGTATATATGTTCTAGCATGTGTATAATAGCATCGTTAGTATTTTTATTAGGCCTGAACCCAAACTGACAGGGGTTGAGTATGTTGTGGGAGATGAGGTAGGAATAGATTCGCTTATGAATTAATTTTTCGAAGAGTTTAGAGAGAGGGTGTAAGTTGGAAACTGGCCTATAGTTATTCAACTCTGTTTGGTCTCCTCCTTTGTGGATCGGGGTGACCCTTGCTATTTTGAGAACTGTAGGGAAGGTAGAGGATTCGATGGATTTGTTAAAGAGTGTTGCAATAATTGGTGATAGCACTTGTGACGCTTTTTTGTATATAAAGTGTGGTAAGGTATTTAAATCTCCTGTCTTGTTTTTTAGTGCGTTGATAATAAGGGAGACTTCATATGGGTTAGTCGGAGCTAGGAACAGTGTGTTCGGGTAGTTGCCAGTGAGGTAGTTACTGGGTGGGGTATCTGAGCTTGGGATTTTATTGGCAAGGTTTTGTCCTATAGTGGAGAAGAAATCATTGAGTCTGTTTGCTCTTTCAGTTGGTGAGAGTTGGGGTTCATCTGATTTTGTTAATTTAATTTCGCTATTTCGTGATATCTTTTTTGTTCCTAAAATTTCTGATAGGGTTTTCCAGGTCTTTTTTATATCACCTCGTAAGTTGGATATCTGTTCTCATATTACAATTTTCTTGCCCTTCTTATCAGGCTGGTTAGGATTGACGAGTAACGTTTTGTTTGGTCTCTGGTTACGTGACCCATTCTGTACTATTTTTCATATAGGTGTTTTGTATTTATGGATTTGAGAATGCTGGGTGTTAACCAGGGACTGTTCAGTCTCTTAGCTGTCATCTGTTTAGTTTTTTTTAGGGCAGTGCTTGTTATAGAGGTATTGGGACTTTTTTTAGAAAATTATTAATACATTCGTCAATATCTGTATAGATTTCTAGCTCAGTGTGCCAATCAATGTTTGCTATTGCTGTTGTGAAGTTATTAATGGCTGCCTCACTGTGAAGTCTGAAAGTGACTTTAGTAGTGTCTTGGGGTAATTTGCCAAAATTTGTTATGAGGAAAGTAGGGTAGTGGTCTGTGGTATTATCTGTAATTATGCCTGATTTTAAAGGGGATATGGTGTTGGTCCAGATGTGGTCTAGCAGGGAAACATTAGTCTCTGTAATTCTTGTAGGTTTAGTTACTGTTGGTAGCAACATGCAGTTACTCATAGTGTTTGTGAATTCAGTAACGTGTGGGTCCTGGTCTTGTAGGAGATTTATATTGAAGTCACCTGAGAGTAGTAAGTGATCTTTGTTCATGCGTGCATCAGTTATCATACTTCCTAGGTTGTCAGTAAAACGGCTAATGTTTGACTGTGGTACTCTGTAGATGTTTATCAATGTGAGAGGTTTTTGTAGGTATTTGGATTTGAATTTAGCTATTATATATTCCCCATGTTCATCCCTAGTGCAAGTATTAGTGATACATTCTAGTTGGTCTGAGTAGTATATAGCTGTGCCACCCCCTTGTTGATCTGGCCTACAGTTGTGTATGGCTGTGTAACCAGGAATGGCATAGACATCTGTAGTATCAGGCTTTAGCCAGGTTTCGGTGAGAGTAATAATGGATATACTGGCATGCAGGGAATTTAGTAATGCTGTGAGGTCATCGTAATGTTTGCTTAAAGATCTGATATTGTAGTTAAAGACAGTTATGTTGTTGTTGGCTCTGAGAAGTGCCTTTGATTGTTCTGCTGTGTAGTAATTACAGTAACTGTTTGATTCATTTAAGTCATTCAATAAGAGGTTGGTATTAGGATCAATGCTTGTTATCATAAGATTTATAGTGAATCTATAGTTAGAATTAAGTATAAGACAAAGTAAATATTCTAAAGCTATAAAATACCAACTGAATTATTTTAACAATAGTAAAAATTTGAGCTAAGGTAGTTCTTTAAATCTAAAATAAAGGAGACAATATAAAGGGATTAAAATAATTTGTGGTGAACAAATAAAGTGGTAATCAAATAAATGAGTTAGGGAATATAATGGTAAAATAGTGAACTTATTACACTTTAGCACCTGAGAATAGCACCTTGATTATTTTAACAGTTGTGAATATATGAACTAAGGTAGTTATATAAAGCTAAAATAAAGGAAAAAATATATAAGGGACTAAAGTAAGTAATGGTAAATAGTTAAATTGGCAGATAGTCACTATAATATTATATTGATTTGGGAGTAAGATCTGATTTGTAATATATAATAAGTTGAGCAATTTATTGTACTATAAAAAGTAAAAATAATATGAGGTAGTTGGTAGTAGAAGCAAAAGAAAGTTTTGGAATTTGAACAATAATGTAATTGGAATATATACTAATTGCACACACAATATAGTTACTAAGATATAAAGAGTAATCTGAGAGTAGGATTTGCCTTATAGCATAAAGTTTGAGCAATTAATATCACTATAGGAATATTATTTGAGGTAGTTCATTCTAGTTTGTAGTTTGTTATTTGTAGTTTGGGAGAAAAAGGGAAAGTTTTAACAGTGCTTAAGTAGGAAAGAAAATGGTAATACAGATAATACTGTGAGTATCTTATTAACAAATAATAACTTGTGAGTTGGAAATCTGGAAAGATACGAAAAATTGGGTCACTCAAAGAACTGTGTGGGACACCTGGGATAATGAGGAAGTAGTACAGGGATTAGTTCAATAATGACATAATAACATACACTAACGTAGTAAGGATTTGGTCACTAATATCAGTCAGACTCTGTAATGTTTGCATCATGAAGGAAGTTTGTTAGCTCATTTTCATTTGTAATATAGTACACACGGCCTAAATTTGTTTTCCTTACTAGAATTTGTCCATCACGTACAAAGTACTGGTGAATTTTATCATTATTCTCACGTTTCAGTTTTCTCACTCTGTACAGGAGGTTCTGTCGTTTTCTTGTGAGACACTCATATTTGTATATATCATTTATGTATATATCTTGGAAGGAGCAGCACCATGACAAAGGCGCGGTGAGTCTTCAGTGGTGTAGCAGTCAGCTACAGTCGCCGTCGAGACTCAGGTGTCAGGGGTCGGTGTTCTCGCTGGTAAAAAGCTCTTGTCCATTTGAGTCACTCCTTCCACCCGGGCCGCAGCCCAGGTATCAGAACGACTCAGGATGTTCTCTGAATGTGTGTCCATCAGGTGACCCTTTTCTACTACTATTACTACTACTACTATTGCCCCCTCTTCCCTCCCATTTTCATCTCTTGTGGCATAAACTACTCCCCCTACCTTCTACTACCTCTACTACTTCCACTACCATCCATTCCACTATCACTACTTCTTGTTCCTCCTCTCTTTCTCCCATTCCTGTCCTTACCAGTAATGCTTTGCATCACATGGATCGCAACTTCACTGTTGGGCTCCTGTAGGTATGTTGTTATTGGCTAACTTTGACTGTTAAACAGGAATCTAACTTAACTATATATACAATATTAAAATAAATGATAAACTAGCGTTCCTGAAAAATGAACACAGGTTAACTTAAAAAATAACAACCAACAGGAAGAACACAAGCCAGAAAGATTATTTTTATTTTCATTATTATTATTATTATTATTATTATTATTATTGTTGTTGTTGTTGTTGTTGGTAAACTCTGAAACGTTTTTTGGGGTAATTCAGGGAACATTAAGGGTCGAACCGGGTTTAGCGAGGCGTCCTAAAACTAACATACCTGTGTTCTCACCACCGGGACCACGCAGTACTACACCTAGAGAGGGTATCGGGGGTCAACGCCTCTGCGGCCCGGTCTGTGACCAGGCCTCATGGTGGATCAGGGCCTGATCAACCAGGCTGTTACTGTTCGCCGCACGCAACCCGACGTATGAACCACAGCCCGGCTAGTTAGGTACTGACTTTAGGTGCTTGTCCAGTGCCTTCTTGAAGACAGCCAGGAGTCTATTGGTAATCCCCCTTATGTATTCTGGGAGGCAGTTGAACAGTCTTGGGCCCCTGACACTTATTATGTTGTCTCTTATCGTGCTAGTGGCGCCCCTGCTTTTCACTGGTTGACTTGGTTCCACCTGATGTTTTTATTATTGAAGTTGAATTTGGTGAAGGCTCCCTCGTGACTGATCACATTTTGTCGGTCTGGGACCCCACACATACATGTGATCTGAGTATATTGTTTTTGATATGATAATATTTCGTATCAGTTTATCATTACTAGTGAATATGAGGTCCAGTGTATTTTCCGATTTAAAAGCTTGTGTGTGTGAGAGTTTTCATCTGAGCTGCATCCTGGGGTGATCTCTCCTTCAGTATTATTTGCTACATTTCTCCATTTTAGTTGCCTTAGGTTGAACTTCCCCAGGGACAGAGTCTTGATAAATCAGTAGTGGAGTGTTTTATCAATCAAGTTGTTGGCAAGCCTCGTGATGAAGACTACAGTATATTCTAAACTGACATCGATGCTCTCTTCAGTAATCCATTTACCGAGGAATGTCTCCAAGCCATTGCTCTCAATAATGACGAAAGAATCAATGTTGAGATGATTATTTTGATGATAATTATTTTGATTACCATTATATCCATGGAAAAGTGACACTGATGAAATAAGTCAGTTAAGCAAATGATATCACTGGTCCACACATGGCTTCAGCATCATCCTGTTCCCTGTTTGTAAATAAAGTTAGAAAATTTTTAAACCCTATCCTTGTAACCCCGCTAAAAAGAACTGATAAATGCGTAAGGGGTTGTATAACGTTTAGAGATTAAGAGACAAATAAATGTGATTCGAGAAAGCATTTCTCTCCATTTTCTAATGATCAAGAGCCCTCAAGCTGCATCAAGGAAATACAAAGAGAGGAAGGCTGTTGTTGTTGATGAGTCAGACAGTGCATCATGCCTCACCTTGAGTGCCTTTGTTACATCACTGATCTTTATGTTGAGTCCCTCCTGGCCTCTCCTGAGGTCCTCCAGCACGGCTGGAGTGCTTCCCCCAGTCCTGTAATATAAATAGAATTTAGTCTGCGTCGCCCCAGCAATGCCACGAACCCAGAATGGTCAGTATTCATTAAACAATGCCAAGCTATCACAATCGTTCACCTGTTTCTCACAGTTTTCTCACCTTTCTCAGACACAAAATCCCCTCTTAGTACAGTGGTGCACTAAGGGGCATAACCTATTTCCACCTGTGTTTGTCCAAGGTGACACCAACTGCTTCACCTCATCTGAGTACAATTTATAAACATCTTCGCCCATATGCTGCATTCTTATCAAGCTTGATAGACTGATTAAAACGACTCCCGACTGAGGGACTGCTTACCTAAAACTCCTTCTGTTCTACACCATTCTTCTTTATTTTGGACTGATGGAGCTACTTTTTATCAACTTGTTAGTTCTCTGAGCCATTTATCTACAGTAAAGAAGGATGCATGTAAGTCGCATACTGTTATACTACTGGATGGTTCCAGCCTGCTGGATGGTTATAGCCTGCTGGACGGCTCCAGCCTACTGGATGGTCCCAGCCTGCTGGATGGTTCCAGCCTGCTGGGAGGTCCCAGCCTGCTGGATGGTTATAGCCTGTTGGATGGTCTCAGCCTGCTGGATGGTCCCAGCCTGCTGGATGGTCCCAGCCTGCTGAATGGTCCCAGCCTGCTGGATGGCCCAAGCATACTGGAAGGTCCCAGCCTGCTGGATGGTCCCAGCCTACTGGATGGTCCCAGCCTGCTGGATGATCTCAGCCTACTGGATGGTCCCAGCCTGCTGGATGGTTCCAGCCTGCTGGGAGGTCCCAGCCTGCTGGATGGTTATAGCCTGCTGGATGGCTCCAGCCTACTGGATGGTCCCAGGATGCTGGATGGTTCCAGCCTGCTGGGAGGTCCCAGCCTGCTGGATGGTTATAGCCTGCTGGATGGTCTCAGCCTGCTGGATGGTCCCAGCCTGCTGGATGGTCCCAGCCTGCTGAATGGTCCCAGCCTGCTGGATGGCCCCAGCATACTGGAAGGTCCCAGCATGCTGGATGGTCCCAGCCTACTGGATGGTCCCAGCCTGCTGGATGGTCCCAGCCTGCTGGATGATCTCAGCCTGCTGGATGGTCGCAGCCTGCTGGTTTGGGTTTCCCGCCTACTGGATGGTCCCAGCCTGCTGGATGGTCCCAGCCTGTTGGTGGTTCCAGCCCACTGGATTGGTCCCAGCCTGCTGGATGGTCCCAGGCTACTGGATGGTCCCAGCCTGCTGGATGGTCCCAGCCTGCTGGATGGTCCCAGCCTGCTGGATGGTCCCAGCCGCTGGATGGTCCCAGCTGTGGATGGTCCCAGGCTATGGATGGTCCCAGCCCGCTGGTTTGGGCCCAGCCCTTTTGGAAAGGTCCAGTCTGCTGGATGGCTCCAGCCTACTGGATTTGGGCCCAGGATGCTGGATGGTTCCAGCGATGGGGGGGTCCCAGCCTGCTGGATGGTTATAGCCTGCTGGATGGTCTCAGCCTGCTGGATGGTCCAAGGGCCTGTGGGTGGTCCAGCCTGCTTAATGGTCCCAGCCTGCTGGATGGCCCCAGCATACTGGAAGGTCCCAGCCTGCTGGATGGTCCCCGCCTACTGTGGTCCCCCGCCTGCTGGATGGTACCAGCCTGCTGGATGATCTCAGCCTGCTGGATGGTCCCAGCCCGCTGGATGGTTTCCCGCCTACTGGTGGTCCCAGCCTGCTGGATGGTCCCAGCCTGTTGGATGGTTCCAGCCTACTGGATGGTCCCAGCCTGCTGGATGGTCCCAGGGTACTGGATGGTCCAGCCCCGCTAGATGGTCCCAGCCTGTGGATGGTCCCAGCCTGCTGGATGGTCCAGCCTGCTGGATGGTCCCCGCCTGCTGGATGGTCCCAGCATGCTGGATGGTCCCAGGCTACTGGATGGTCCCAGCCTGCTGGATGGTCCCAGCCTGTGGATGATCCCAGTCTGCTGGATGGTCCCAGCCTGCTGGATGGTCCCAGCTGCTGGATGGTCCCGCATGCTGGATGGTCCCGTCTGCTGGATTGGTCCCAGCCTGCTGGATGGTCCCAGCCTGTGGATGGTTTCCCCGCCTGCAGGATGGTCCCAGCCTGCTGGATGGTTCCAGCCTGCTGGATGGTCCCCGCATGTGGATGGTCCCGCCCGCTGGATGGTCCCCGCATGCTGGATGGTCCCAGTCTGCTGGATGGTCCCCGCCTGCTGGATGGTCCCAGCCTGCTGGATGGTCCCAGCCTGCTGGATGGTTCCAGCCTGCTGGATGGTACCAACCTGCTGGATGGTTCCAGCCTGCTGGATGGTCACAGCCTGCTGGATGGTTCCTACCTACTGGATGGTCCCAGCCTGCTGGATGGCCCCAGTCTGCTGGATGGTACCAGCCCTGGTGGTCCCAAACCTGCTGGATGGCCCCAGCCTGCTGGTGGTTCCAGCCTGCTGGATGGCCCCAGCCTGCTGGATGGTAGTGTGCCTCACTCCAAACATACTGAGTGACCTTGAATAAGTCAGAGAAACAAAATAGCAGAAACCTTTCTTACGGAAATATTCAGATGAGTAAGTTTCCCCCAAAGAGTAGTAATCAAACCTAAGTCAAGTATTTACATTGGTTTTTATATCTGCAAAATACTCGATGTATTTACATTTAGTAACATAGCCTCGGGAAGACAACCACAGCGATCTTTACATTTGATAGGTTACAGTTTGGTTATCAACAAGTCATTATGTCAGTGTACAGAAAAGACAGCAACAAACATTGCACTACGCACTACTGATAGGCCATTATTGCTTGATTCTTGCTGCAACTCCGATGCCTTGACATAAAACACCTGGTCGTGTTTTGTGTCATGTGTCGTATATGTGTCTAGATCTGCGTTTCTTGTTATGTTTGGATGTGGGTGTGAAGTGTGGCGCTTGAGTGCTTCTTATCTCTGTGTTTTATCCACAGTGTAATAATACAAACAATTCTGGAAAAATACGCTGGGCTCTGCTTACTGTAAAAAAATTATCTATATATTTATATATATTATATATATATATTTTTATATTTATATATATTTATATATATATATATATATTATATATATATTATATATATATATATATATAATATATATTTATAATATTGCGCGGTGTTTGTGTATTTTGTGACATAATTCATATCTGCGTAAATAACTAATTATAACTGTAACTAGATATAAATATGCAAATAGTTCTTTACCACTGTAACTGCTTCAGCTATCAGAATGTTGGAGTCCAGTCCCTGGACCCATTATGTACCTCTGTAATCTTTTGACTACCACCCACAGGATGGCTATGCTGAGTGTCAATATTGAACTATGAAACATCTCAAACTGTGGTACCATCAACCTTCCTTACGACCTTCCTTACGACCTTCTTTACGACCTTCCTTACGACCTTCCTTACGACCTTCCTTACGACCTTCCTTACGACCTTCCTTACGATCTTCCTTACGGCCTTCCTTACAACCTTCCTTACGACCTTGCTTACGATCTTCCTTACGATCTTCCTTACAACCTTCCTTACGACCTTCCTTACGATCTTCCTTACGATCTTCCTTACAACCTTCCTTACGACCTTCCTTACGATCTTCCTTACGACCTTCCTTACGATCTTCCTTACGACCTTCCTTACAACCTTCCTTACGACCTTCCTTACGATCTTCCTTACGATCTTCCTTACAACCTTCCTTACGACCTTCCTTACGATCTTCCTTACGACCTTCATTACGACCTTCCTTACGACCTTCCTTACGACCTTCCTTATGACCTTCCTTACGATCTTCCTTACGACCTTCTTTAGGACCCTCCTTACGACCTTCCTTACGACCCTCCTTACGACCTTCCTTACAACCTTCCTTACGACCTTCCTTACGACCTTCCTTACGAACTTCCTTACGACCTTCCTTACGACCTTCCTTACGACCTTCCTTACGGCATTTCTTACGACCTTCCTTAAGACCTTCCTTACGACCTTCCTTACGACCTTCCTTACGAACTTCCTTACGACCTTCCTTACGACCTTCCTTACGACCTTCCATACGACCTTCCTAACAACCTTCCTTACGACCTTCCTAACAACCTTCTTTACAACCTTCCTTACAACCTTCCTAACAACCTTCCTTACAACCTTCCTTACAACCTTCCTTACAACCTTCCTTACGACCATCCTTACAACCTTCCTTACAACCTTCCTTATGGCTTTCCTAACAACCTTTCTTACGACCTTCCTAACAACCTTCCTTACGACTTTCCTAACAACCTTCCTTACAACCATCCTTACGACCTTCCTAACAACCTTCCTAACAACCTTCCTTACGACCTTCCTAACAATCTTCTTAACAACCTTCCTTACGACCTTTCTAACAACCTTCCTTACAAACTTCCTTGCGACCTTCCTAACAACTTTCTTTACAACCTTCCTTTCGACCTTCCTAACAATCTTCCTTACGACCTTCCTAACTACCTTCCTTGCAACCTTCCTTTCGACCTTCCTAACATCCTTCTTTAAGATCTTCCTTACGACCTTCCAAACAACCTTCCTTACAACCTTCCTTACGACCTTCCTAACAACCTTCCTTACGACCTTCCTAACAACCTTCCTTACGACCTTCCTAACAACTTTCCTTACAACCTTCATTACGACCTTCCTTACGACCTTCTTAACAACCTTCCTTACGACCTTCCTAACAACCTACCTTACGACCTTCGTAACAACCTTTCTAACAACCTTCCTAACAACCTTCCTTACAACCTTCCTAACAACCTTGTTAACAACCTTTATTACGACCTTCCTTGTGACCTTCCTATCAACCTTCCTAACAACCTTCCTACCAACCTTCCTTTCGACCTTAATAACAACCTTCCTAGCAACCTTCCTTACAACTTCCTTAAGACCTTCCTAACAAACTTCCTAACAACCTTACTAACAACCTTCCTTACGACCTTCTTAACAACCTTCCTAACAACCTTCCTTTCGACCTTACTAACAAC